TATCCTAAAGGGTAGTTATGGAAAGAGATTTAGGAAATCCAGCAATAGAAGAAATATTTGGAACTGGGTATTTCTTATCATGCTCTACGGTTTGAAGCATATTTGATGAAGTTACTAGTCTAGTATGTTTTTGTAAATGTATACATATATACATGTACCTAAAGTGTTCTATGGACCAAAGGGCACAAACATGGTGTCTGAAGTGGCTAAGGAATGCATTTATCCAAATATAGATTGATACTTTGTCAAATGAGCACGAAAACCAGTACGTCAAAGAAGCAGAACATACTAAGTAGGAACAGAGAAATTTACCACAAAGAACAGCAACAATATGGCGCAATGACAGGGAAGTACTATGATCTGTGCTTCTCTCCCAATTAACTCACTGAAAATAATCCTAATGATTATCTGATTGATTTCACTACTTGGTTATAAAATAAGATAGAACAGAAAGATCATATATTTCACAAAATAATACTATCGAATCCATGAAGGCCTATCAAGACAAGCTGCTTATTTGAGGCCAAACTTTGGGGTCAGACCTCAATTTATGCATACCCTTGAACGGAAGCTGGAGCTGTCAAAATATATTTCGAGAAAACAGTTTTTTTTGGAGGGGAATATTTGGAAATTTTCACCTACAAATCGGCTCCACTTGGTAGAATATTTCATTGCGCTTAATAGCCTTCAAGGCCGAGAAACAGCGGCTTGAGAAAAATGGTACAATTAAAGCAGTTGTCACACCAACGGGTTGGGTGTCATCTTCTCATTGTATGTGTATGTATCCCCTTACCAGTCATAGGAGATTTACTGCCAGAACTCAACAAAGTTACAACACGTGATGCAAAATGACTTTAGGCATTTACTTCCAAAAGGTGTAATTATTCTTAGGTAAATTGAAGCCCAGAAGCCGAGAGATGCCGTATATTAACGGATGCCAGGTGTTCGAATTATGGAAACAAATATTAAGGAACAGAGGCTCTTAAGTATGATAAATTACCTATCGCTTCCAACCAAACCTAAGTAACAAGTATGCACCGCTCTGAAAACTAACACAAAGGGAGAGTGGATCTAGACAATAAAACATGAAAATGCGGTCAATAATTCTATCTTTAGTTAACTTCCTGTGATGAAAACTTATGTTCAGAAATATTTTGATACAAATAGATAGAAATTTTCAATACGATGCTTCAGGCACATGTCTGATAGCTCGTGCAAACCTGATGCACATGCCAACCGAGTACTTACAAAGACGAGCAGAGATAAGCGCAAATTCAATGGGAATTATGGGTGAATTTTAAAAAAAATGGCCAGACACATAATTATCAACCTGCATTAAAATTTAACGCTACGTGAATAAATGTCCATAGCTCAGCATGTCTTTTGATACTGGCTAAATGCCTGCCAAATCTCATTGATATCTAAAGAAACAAAAAAAAAGTTATGCCCAAAAATGATGCTAAAAATATCAGGCGTGCAACACCATTTTATGACATTCTGAAATTTCTGTATTTTTTTTTTAAAGATCTGTTAAATAAATAATAATGGTTTATATTGGAAATAAAGAATTTTTGATTAAGTTCAATATATTGAACTTTAAAATTAGACTGTAGTAACTTTTGCTTGACCAAGTTATGATCACGGTTGATGCTGAAAAATATGTTATGCCATGTCATGAGTGCAACAGATAAAATGTAATGATGCCAAAAAATATTGAATTTAAGGAAACTGACAATCAAGTCAAAACATTTTTGAAAGCGTATAACAATAACCGATATATCATTTGTAGGCTTAAAATGTTATATGAATCACAAGCAACATTAATGAGAATGGCCAAAAATCTGTGGATACACATTTATGCCATTAGTGTCAGGAGTGCAACATATGTTGTTTTGCTCTCCAACCTGGAAAAACTTTAATCAGTATATAATGTTTTGCTTTCTTTTTTGGAAAATAAAATCAAAAGGAACATTTTTATCAAATAAATCTATCATTTACAAGATCTGTCTGTGTTTCAGATCCATATTTCCACAGTCAGGAGTGCAACACGTTTTCTTAAAGATTCAAGTTCAATGACTCCTCTTCATACTATTAAGTATTGTTTGATCAATAAACATATATTTGAATAATTAAATTCTAAATTAATTAAAGTTTTATTACAGAAATCTGAGTACCTTAAATCACTTATTATAAAAAGGCCAAAATATAGGAAACCCCAATGTTTGCATCATAATTTCATAAATATTAATTTATGAATTCTGTGGATTGATTGATTGATTGTATGTTGTTAGACGTCCCATTCGAGAATTGTTCACTCATATAGAGACGTCACCGTATTCCGGTGAAGGGCTTCAAATTTAGACTTATACTTGGCCATCAGGGCCATTGAACAGTGAGGGTTCTTTATCGTGACACCGACTACCGTGACACGGGACGTCGGTTTTTAAGGTTTAATCTGAAAGAACCGTTACTTTCACTTTTAGTGCCGAGCGCTTGGCTTGAATTCTGTGAAAGATTACGCCAGACGATGGGAGAAATATAAAAAAAGAAGACATTGACACTTTGTCAGAATAGATTAAAAGTATCAGATGGATGTTGATATCTCGTAATGGTAACCTAACAACAAAACTTTATAGTAAACGTGATGACTTCAACTTTTCTATCGTCAACTTCCCTTATTACATGTAGTGTAGCAATATGCCCTTATCACTTGCATATGGGGTTTATGTCTCCCAGTTGATTCGATACGTAAGAGCATGCTTTATATGCGATCAATTTTTGAAACAAGGCAAGCTATTAACCAACAAATTGATGGAAAAGGATATCAACAGTCTCGTTTGAAGTCATCATTTCGCAAGTTCTATGATAGACACAATGACCTTATCAGCAAATACAATCTATCATTATGTCAAATGCTGACTGACGTTGTTCATACTAATTGCTAAGCCATTACTTACACACTGAAATTTCTACGGATTTTTCCGTTTATCCAATCATGACAAGGAGCACACAGCGAGTGTGACCGGTCGGCAGGGAATGCTTTCTCCTTCATAGCACTCGATCCCCCAACTGATGTTTTTGGAGATCCGTGTTGCTCTGCTCTCGATTTGTATTTTTTAAATGGACTTTGAGCTTGAGTACTGTTCGTTATCTTCATATTTCTTATGTCCCATTTTCAATTTCATCAATGCAGATCTATGTGATTTTATCTTTTCTTTTAATTTTTAAAGAAATTTTAAAAACAACACTGAAAAAATTGTAATAAAATTCAGATAATTGCACTTTGGCTTTACTGAATCACCACTTTTAAGTCTCAGATGCTCTTGGTCAGGAGTGTAACAAAAATGTTAGATTTATCAGTGATCATAATAGAATAAATATAGGCTAAAATTGATGAGTAGAATATTTCTGGTTGACCTCAATTGCTGACAGTGTTTGTCCTATGAGGTAAAATGTCCTATGATATACATGTATACCTTTACCTGAAAAACCTCTGTTTTTCGGTTAGTTTTGAAGAATAGACTAAATTGACAAAAATATAATTTTTGAAGGATTTATTACATATATTCTTTCATATCAAACTTTTCAGACGAAAATTGACACAATTAATGTAAAATAGCAAATTAAAAATCCTTTTTTCACATATACAAGAGGAGAAACCCAAGGTTTAGATGTAATCCTTTATATCCCTGGAACAAGTCTGAAAGATAAAAAAAAAAATGCAATTTCTTTTGATTATGTATTTCAGAAAGTATTTTAGAATGCAGTCATATTTCTTTTTTCAAATGAAGTTCTACAAATAAAAATTCTGAAGCTTTTTTAAGCATTTGTCAAATTTCATTGTAACTTCGGATATTTTAAATAGAATGTACATGTATATACAATATGATGTTTTATTGAGTAATGGCAAGTTGAAACTTTTTAAAAAAAAAAAAAATCAATTTGCTGGTCATTAGTTTTGAATTCACACTCATTGGCATAATGCCTTTGAATGGAAAACCCTCATTAGTACACGAATGACGGATAGATTAAAATGGAAAATGTTCATTAACCTTTAGAAACAGTAGAAATATTTCCAAGTTGATCCTTTAAATTCGGACCTACTGTAAGCAATCTTGAGTTGTACATCAACCACAATATAGTGTAAGATTCATTCATAATATAAATTCATGAAATATATAACAATGCATCATGAAAAAACAAAAGCCAATGCATCTGTATATAATTTTGGATGATTTGTTTGCAATTCCAGACTTTCACAATTAAATTTTATTATTTGAGTACGTTATTAAGCAAGATTTTTTTCCAGAAAATATACAGGTTCAATAGTTCAAAATATGTTTTTTAATCATATCTTAAACCTATATCAATAACCGTGTAATGAACAATAGGAATACCTTTTGTGTTATTGTCTTTGAGATACAAACACTGCTAATTTGCTGCGTTAAACATCTACTCAATATTTCATGGAAGTTAATGGAAAATTGAACTCTAATAGAAACAGTTCTGTAAGAGTGTTTTGCCATTACTGTCCATTTATGTAGACATATCCAAATACATCTATATCTATTTACTTTTTTAAAAATAAATTTTTGATAACTTTTAATCATATTTCCCCCATTATAATTCTTCTAATATATAAACTTTTTATTTGAATCAATTTTCCTTTTTTAAATTTTCTTTTTTTCCTGCAGATCCTAGTATTCATACACTAATTGCATGTACATGTACTTGCTATAGAGGAAGCTAAATACTGAAATAGATACTAAAACTAGGAAGTCATTATATAAATAATTGAAATACAAATTTAATATTTGATGTGTATAAACTACTTGTTATTATAATCGGTTGTTTCTATAATTTTGATTTTTTTTCCATGTTTGTGGCTTTATTTTATAATTTAAGCTCAAGTCTCGGGTAATTTCAATGGTTAAATTCCTTGGCTACTTTAAGAATCACATCAAGATAACAATAACATTGCTATATTTCCCCCCTTGCAGTTTAACTTGGTATGTGACAGAACTATGCTCCGCCCTCACGCCATGACGACGTATTTCATTGGATATGCTGCGTCAACGGTTCTCCTGTCCATTGTTGGAGATGTGTAAGTATCTTAAAACTATTATGCAAAAGGAGATAAATGAAGAAAAGATAAAGTATGACATTTTGAAAAAAAAAGAATGATTCAAGGAAGTAGACTGTACAGGAAACATCGTAGATATGATAACGGATCGAAGGTTATTCAAAAGTAAATACATCGCATTGAATATTTTCTATATCTTTGTTACATCAGAATGTACATGTTACAATAAAAGAATAGGCATCTGACGCGTACACATGTATAAAATACCTTTTTTCCTTTTTCACTGTATATTAAAGTATTGAATTGCAAATTTTTGGCGTTCATCGTGTCATAATACGAATGGCCGTGCTTACAAATTGAATAACGTGCGTTATTACACGATGAACGTATTCTATACTTATATTTACATTGATCGTAAATTGGTAAAATATAACCTCTTTGCAAAACAAAACACTCTGTCGTAATTTGGTACATGCACACTTCAGGCAACTGAATATCAGCAGATAAAGGTTCACAGAACCACGATATTAAATTCAAATGAATTTACAATGATTTAAAACAATCAACTAGATATTTTAATTATAGACTCTTGAAGTATTTCATATCTAAAATATATCACATCATCCAAAAATTGCTGATGTTTTTATTTAACCACCTTCTCATTGTTTCTCATGTTATTATTTCTTATCTATCTATAACGGATGAATTTTTAATCAGGAATAAAGTGAAAGGATGACAGTATCATTTAATGAATGAGAGAGGGAAATTACGTTACGGAAGCTTTTTTTTTTTTTTTTTTTTTTTTTTTTTTTTTTACATGTACCAATTTTCAAAAAGTACTGGAAGGGATATATACAATTCAGATTTAAAAGCGACAAATAAATGTCAAAGCTGAAAGACACTCACAAAGATTTTGTCTAATACACACAATACAACCTTTAATTCCTTTCAAGAAAAAACTTAATGTACAAGAATATAGAAAAAATCATTATTCTCAGGCAGGACAGACACAAAATGAGCTTGAATTATTTTGTTACATCAGGGAAAGGGGGGGGTATCTTTATTTAGCATTTTTCTTCTTAATTTCAGATTTCTTTGTGATTAAATATAAACTTATAACATAAGGCTTGTACCTTGTCAACAAAGGTAAGATGAATTGGGTTTTTAATTGTCTAATTGATCATTTAGCAGTTCATTTTTCAAATTCACAAAACACTGTGTTCCTTGTACTAACTCTCAAAGTAGCTCTACTATCAAAGACCAGAAGAGTTTTTGCAATGGGAAAATGTCCGTCGTCCGTCTCTGTTTTTTTTTTCAATTGCAAAATGCGACCTCTCCCAAATTCTGGCCCGTTTTCATTAAGGTGCAGAAGTACACTGCTGTTTTCTGTTTTTTGATTTCGATGAAGGTGTGACTATGTTAAAAAAATTAAACATTAAAAAAAATTAAAAATTCGGTGACTTTATTTTCAAAATCTCCTCCCGCTGTGTTGGTTTGATTTCAATAAGACTTGGTATACAAGTAAGCTACAATAATATATATCAATCTGTGTATTTGCTTTTGATTTCGGCAAACGGTGTTGAGTTGAGGGATTTCAGTGAAAATTTTTCAAAATGTTGCTTTTCCTAAAAAAAAAAAATGGCTCGGTTTCACTTTGATACCTGGTTACTGAAAATAGACATTTCTGAGAAATTCTTTCAAAACGTTACAACTTCTACGGATTTGTTCTGATTTCAATGCAGCTTGAAACACAGATATACAATTATTGATACATCTTGCTCTATAATAGTTTAAATTTTGATGAACAGGTTTAAAATGGTTGATAGAACTAGAATAATGTGTGGTATCCTTTTATAAAAGAAAGCCTCCCATAGCTCTGGTCTGATTTCTTTATAAAGTACAAATGTATTTTCTTTGTAAAATTACAAATGTACCAAACTAAGGTTCATAATGCTTTTCTCATTGGTGTTATAACTACTGAAAAAGACTATATGATAATCGTCTGCTGTTTTAATTTTATTTCAACAAAACTTTGTACAGATTTGAAAACATCGGAATGCATGATTCTGTACATGTTAAACTGAAAAAAGTGTTTCACATCCAGATGAAGTTTTTCTCTTTATAAAAAGTAAAAGTCAGTAAAAATACAGTCTCATCAGAGACTTCTGGTATTCTACAGAATTGGACGACGACTAGAGTGCTGTATATGTTTGACGTTTATGTTCATCACAAATATCACCATGCCGTTTTCCACGTCTGTCTACATGTTTGCAGCCCTCCGCTTCCTTGACGGATTCTGTGCTTCTACCATTTATCGTACCGTTTTTATAATGGGTAAGCAAGATTAATGAAAGTTTAGATTCCCCCGCAATAGCATGTTCATTATTATGATATACTAGTATTAGGAATGTTTTGCTTGTCTGTCTGCCCTCAGTTCCTTTAACAAGCCTATTAAGGTTCACTGAAAAGCGGGAGGACATTGTGTCATAAAAACGGAAGTCAAGATGTTATTTCGATTTCCGTAAATAATCTGGATTTGAAATTAAATGAATGTTATCGTTAGTTTTCTTTTTCATATTACACTATCTTAATTCTAAAAACAAACCAAGAAAACAAAACAGAACAAAACAAAGCTGAAATTACTCGTCATGATTCTTCATACTATTTTATAGACTATGTGTGAGAAATTTGCGTATATGTAAAGAGATTTTCAACTTTTTGATCCACATGATACTATGCCTGGCTTTCTTTCGTGAGTTTCACAACTAGAAATATCAGATGAATAAAATAAAAATATGGATAAGACTTCTTTCGTAAATTTCACAACCATGCATTCTATAGTGAGTTTCATAATGCCAGATTTGGAAATATATACTAGTTAGTAGAAGAAACACCAGATGAATATCAGAAAAAGATAAACACTAATTTTAGTGATTTTCATAGCGAAATTTTGAAGATATATGGTAAAGACAGGATAAAATTGAAATTTGAAAAAAGAAATATTATATAAAAAGTAAAGAAAATATTTAATTTTTCTTTAAATCAAGAAACATATATCCTTTCTTGAGTGTAGAAATAAAAGCGTTTTTGAAAGTGGTGAACTTATACAATTTTTTTTCTTCTCGTCAGGGTTGGAGTTTGTAACACCACAGTTACGTCTGATATCCGGTACGGTCATAGTTCTAGTTTTCTGTGTGGGAGCCTATATCCTGGTGCTGATTGCTTATTTTATCAGAGATTGGAGATGGCTACAGTTAACAGTTGCTATTCCAATGGCAATACCCCTCATCTACTGGTGGTATTATAATTTTACTTGAGTTATGGGATTAATTGTCTAAAACTGACTTTTATATTTAACGTGAGTTACGTTGTATTTAATGAAGGAACACTACTATTAAAACATGAAATTATTACCCCCTGCAACGACGTTCTCACAAGTATTCTAATTCTAATCAAATGTTATGGAAGCCATATAAAAAGAGTTTCATTGAATATCATTCCGCTACGTAGACATAGATTCATTTGAACTCTGGTGATCTCAACTTTATGGGGGGGGGGGGTTCTAAGTTTAGTTATGTCAATTATAAATTTGATAACATTGATCAGCTTTAAAATTTGTTTTGATGGCAGAAAAGAGCTCGGACTTGATGTTTGAAGGTCAAATTTTCATGGTCCTATTTTTGTAAATTATTGCAAATAATGTGATAAATTGAATGGATCGTTTGATTTACAAGGTCTTGATGCTTGCTATCGAGTTGACGTGTAATGGAGTACATGTATTTTCATAAAAAAATGTTTTATATGTTGCCAAAGAATTAATATTTCTAGGCCAAGAATATTTCCAGAATCTCCAAGGTGGTTGTTATCTCGTGGAAGACACGAGGAGGCAATGAAAATCTTGCAGAACGCGGCAAAGATCAACAATACTCCACTTGATGAAGATATCAACTTGTTGAAAGTCAATGTTGAAAAAGATGGCGATAAAGGAATCGTTAACATCCTGAAGATACTCATTACATCCCGAAAACTGGTCATTCGTTGGCTCATAGTTACAGCAAACTGGTAAGTAGTGTACAGTGAAACATCATATCCCTTGATTTAAGTGAGGCAAAATTTCCGGCGAAGGATCTAAAATTCACTTTACACTATGCTACCCAATAGTCCAGAGAGGAGACCAGGAGGGAGAGGGGTACAAGCCCTCTAGGACCCCCCCCCCCCCCTAGTATGGAAGAAAACAGTTTTCAGAACTTTCAAAAAATGGGAAAAAACCTCTGATAATAGAAAAGAAGAGGTATTTCTTTCGTTAAAGTTATAGATGGCAATTATTTACAAGGTTCAATTTCTAAACCTAAGACAAACACAAACAGCACAAATAAGAATCGGCAAGTTGATCCAAAATAAAGTTATAACCGCCATAAAATCTTTAAAAATAAAAATGTATCCACAAAATTCTATACTAGCATATTTATACCTCTATCTCTTTTTTACCATTGCTTTAAAATTTCAGACAAATGTATGAAATGCTTTAAAAATTGTTAAGTTAAAATAAACACTTTATGTCTGTCTATCGCCGCAGTACAAGAAGGTTACCGACGTCGTTACGCACTTGTTTTCAGATCAACCATAAATATTTTAATTCTTTCACATATACGATTTATTTCATGAACACTCTCACCTTGTGCTAGAATGTCTAGTTTTGAGCTTTTTCAAAAAATTATTTTGACTTTCCATATATTCATTCTGCTGTGCGTACAAGCGGCAGATTCGAGAGGAAGTGATGTAAAAGGCTCTCTTCTTCCAAGCATTTGTCCATCTGTTAACTTCAATTTAAATTGGTATTTTATGCAACTTTTGTATCTTTATAATACTATTTCCCCCCATTAATAGTTGAAAAAGATAAGGGTATTTGTATTTGGATGTTAAATTTTGTTGATAACATTCGATTATTAAAGATTTTAAAGCAGTTTGACATAACTTTTGGATCAACTCTCGTATGTGACTTCTTCAGATTTCGACATTGAATATTAGGTAGGGGTGAATAGACGCTTTATTTTCGAGCTCGCGTTAACCTACACATAAAGCACTTTGTCAATAGAACTTTACCCAGTTTTCCATACCTTTCTTGGAGAGTAGTCAAGGATTGATGTTTCATATTTATTTATATAAATATGTACAACACTGTATGTCAAAAAGGATAGAAAAGAATTCAAATCAAAATCCCAAAAAAGAATAAAAAACGAAAGCAAAAAGAAGAGAAATGAAATATGGAGATAACGAACAGTATTCAAGCTCGAAAGTCCTTTCAAGCAATACAAATGAGCAGAGCAAACATGGACCTCTACAAATGAGATGTGGGATCAGGTGCCATGGAGAAGTGAGCATCCCCTGCCGACCGGTCACACCCGCCGTGTGTTTCTTTTGTCATGATCGAGAAAAACTGAAAAAATCCGTAGACAATTCAGTGTGTAAATAATGACCTAACAATTAGTATGAAAAATGTCATTCAGCATGACATACTGATAGACTGTATTGGCTAACAAAGTCATTGTATCGAGCAAGGAACTTTCCAAATGATGACTTTAAACGAGACTGTTGATATTCTTGTTTTATCAGTTTAGCATGTACTTACGTATCGAATCAACTGAGAGACATAAACCCCATATGCAGGTGATAAGGATATATTACTTCATAAGTAAGGGAAGTCGACGATAAAAATGTTGAAGTCATCACGTTTATCATAAAGCTTGATTGTTAGTTGTCCATACCGTTTTTTCTAGTGAAATATCCAAATATGAAACAGGTGTGTCAGATTCTGTGATATCTTTTATTTCAAACTCACTGAGATATATCGAGTCGACATATGAATGAAAGTAACTATTGTTAATTGATAATACGTCGTCGATATATGTAAATGTCGAGTTGAAGGCCAAAGCAAGCGTTTTCTTCTTCTCATGTATAGGATTTTATAAAAATTTTGCTTCATATGAATACAAAATTAGGTCTACTAATAATGGGGCACATTTGGTACCCATGGACATTCCGACAGATTGTTTGATGACCTGGTCTCTACATATATACATATGTATTATCAATCAGAAATTCAAGCACCTTTTAATGTCAACCTCAGAGTACTTGTGTGTACAATCAAAATGTTTTTTAACCAACTGATTTTGCAAATGACAAATGCCAAGATAAGAAAATATACGAGTTCCATTTTTTAGGTCACCTGAGTCACTCAGGTGACCTATTGCTATCCGTTCTCGTCCGTCGGCGTGCGTCGTGTGTTGACATTTGAACATTTTTAGCTTCTTCTCTGAAACCGCTTAACCAATTTCAACCAAATTTGGCATATAGCATCTATGGGTGAAGGGGAACAAAAATTGTGAATTTCATGGTCCCTGCCCCCTGGGGCCTGAGGGGTGGGACTAAAACCTCCAAAAATAATGCAATCTTTAAAAATCTTCTTCTTTACTCCAGGACATCAAGCAGTCAAACTGTTGGCATCATTGTAATAAGCATTGAGCCCTCTACCAAAATTGTGAAATTCATGGCCCCAGGGTCAGAGGTTCTGGTGTTAGGGTGGGGCTCTATTGATTATATAGTGAAAATGCATTAATTCTTTGAAAATTTTCTTCTCTGCTCCTGGGTATTGAATAAAGTAACTAAGTACATAGTTATGATGAGCAAGAGTGTCTCTTCCATAATTGTGAAATTCATGGCTCCAGGGTCAGGGGTTCTGGCCCCAGGGTGGGGCTATATAGATCATATTGTGAGAGTGCATTATTTCTTTGAAAATCTTCTTCTCTGCTCCTGGGTATTAAATAAAGTAACTAAGTACATAGTTATGAAGAGCAAGAGTGCCTCTTCCAAAATTGTGAATTTCATGGCCCCAGGGTCAGGGGTTCTGGTGTTAGGCGGGGCTCTATTGACTATATAGTGAAAATGCATTAATTCTTTGAAAATCTTCTCCTCTGCTCCTGGGCATTAAGGTGATAAACTAAGTACATAGTTATGATGATGAGGTGGGCCTCTTCCAGAATTGTGAAAGCCATGGCCCCTGGGTCAGGGGTTCTGATGTTAAGGCGGGGCTCTATTGATTATATAGTGAAAATGCATTAATTCTTTGAAAATCTTCTTCTCTGCTCCTGGGTATTATTTAAACAAACTAAGTGCATGGTTATGATGCATAAGGATGCATTTTCAAAAATTGTGAATTTCATGGCTCCATGCAGGGTCAGGGGTTCTGGTGTTAGGGCGGGGCTCTATTGATTATATAGTGAAAATGCATTGATTCTTTGAAAATCTTCTTCTCTGCTACTGGAGATTATTTAAACAAAGTGCATGGTTATGATGCATAAGGATGCATTTTCAAAAATTGTGAATTTGATGGCCCCAGGGTCAGGGGTTATGGTGTTAGGACGGGGCTCTACTGATTATATAGTGAAAATGCATTGATTCTTTGAAAATCTTCTTCTCTGCTACTGGAGATTATTTAAACAAACTAAGTGCATGATTATGATAGGCAAGGATGCCTCTTCCAAAATTTTTAAATATATGGCCTCAGTTTTTGGGGTTCTTGGGGAAGGGGGAGGGGCTCTATTGATTATATAGTAAAAGAAGCATTAATTTTATTAATTAATCATTAATTAATCCTGTCTGCTCCTTAGTGTTGAGCTGATAAATAAATTGCTTAGCTATGATGAAAATGGGAGCTTCGAACAGAATTTTTAAATCTTGTGGTCCTAGGGCAGGGATTTATCAGTACCTTCTCAGGGGCCGAAATTCGGCCCCATTCCCAACTGAAAATGAGTTCAGTTTTTCCCAATTTGGCAGTATTTTTCCCAATTGGTGAACAATGCTTTTATATTTAATTATCTTGGAAAAACACAAGGAAAATTGTCAGATTGTCTGTAATTTTCATCTGTTTAAGTCATTTAGCAAAGCTACAGTCATGACACATGTTTAAAAACACTGTAAAAACATCGCCAACTTTTAATCCGAATTTCCTCCGTTTTTCTGAAAATGGTGATATTGTGTAATTATATAGATTTGTTAAGTTATTTCTACATACTCAATTGATATACGAGTGAATGGTAAGGACTGTAGGCATTATTTCAAATAGAAAAATATATTTTCAATGCATTAGTACATATTAAATGAGGACTTTGAGAAAATATATACTTGCAGGAGGTTTATATTTTCCAGAAACAGATTCTGTATTGACCTAAATTGGAATCTCATACACACATGTACTACCCTAAGTTGTATAAACACTTTATACTCATTGAAGTCAATTTTACTTTATTAGTCTGTTATTCATGATTGATCTTGTATGAAGTTGGATCATATATAATTGTCTGTTTGGTTGCAATTGCCCAAATTAGAGTTCATGCTGAAATATTAAATGAATTACACCGAATACTTGATTTAAGCAACATTTTTAATTTTTCCCAATTTCATCAAAAAGCCGATAATTTTTCCCAATACCCCAAAAATGGCGTTTCCCAAAATAGGCTGATAAATCCCTGTAGGGTCAGGGGTTCTGGCATAACGAGGGGGGGGGGCTTTTGATAATATATAGTGGAAAAGTGTTAATTCTTTGAAGTCCATAGTTATGATGATGAGGGTAACTCTTCCAAATTTGTAAATTTCTTGACCCTTGGTCTTGGGTTCTGGTGTTAGGGTAAGGTTTTGTTGAATCTGTAGTGAAAATGCATTGTACCTGTGAAATTCTTCTCTGCTTCTGGGCATATCGGAAGAAAACTGAGTAAAAGTTTAAATGATATAAGTAAGCGTATTTCTACCAGATTTTTGAACATCTGGACCATTTGTCTAGCATTCTGGTCCTGGGCAGGGCTCTATTAATTTGTATTCTACTGAGAGAAGTTATTCCCCTTTCCCATTCACCTTTGATAATTAATCACTGTAAATAATGTATTTGAAAGGTTAATAGAATAAGATAATTATGCAAGAATGTTTATAATATAATTCAAAAAGTACTTTCTTAGTTTTAATAATCAGGTAGACCTGTAAGTAATAGATAAATAAAAATGAGACAAAAATAACTTAACTTATTAAAAGTTCTTCAAAGACCATAAGAGAGGTCAATGCTAGAGGTCTTAATATGGGTTACAAATAGTACAGAAGCACTAATAGTTTGTTAATAGTCTGCATGGTGATAGTGTTAAGTCGGGGACAGATTAAAACTTAATTTATGAGTTGATAGTGAATACTAGACTTATTATTTTGTTGATCCTGATCTTCCTACTTCTCTTGCTTTAGGGCAACAAAGCTTCATCTATCAGTGTATTTAACTTCTAAATTGTTGTATTATACTCAGGTAACCGTTAAGGCCCTTGGGCCTCTTGTTATAGAAAAAAAAACAGCTGTCAGTGATGTCAAAAAGGGTGGGCTTGATTTATTGTCGGGAATGGTTGTATAAACTGTTGAAAAGTCGTACGTTTTAATGTTTTTGATTTTGGTAAAAAAAAGAATAAAAGAAAAAAAAAAAGATATATACTTATCGTTTTCTTCATAATATCGATATCAGTGTTCATTTGATATCACAGGCATCAGAGACAAGTTAGAGGTGGGGGTTAACTTCGATGAAGTAAATATTAGTTACATTTTTCACTTTCCAAACAATGTGCAATCCATTTAATAGAATTGGTTACCATTTTATGTTATTGAATTCTTGTCATCTTTTAAACAGGTTTGCCATTGCCTTTATATACTACGGTCTTACTGTAAATCTAGGAAAGTTTGGTGGAAATTTGTACGCAAACACTGCACTTTCAATCACAGCTGAAATACTTGGATACTCAATGTGCTTTCTTCTGGACAAAACAGGAAGAAAGCCTATGCATCTTGTTGTCCTTTTTGGTAGTTCTGTGGCTTGTTTCCTCACACTGATACCAATACTTTTGTTGGATGAATGTAAGACTTATCACCTTCATAATTATTTGAACTGTCACTTGAAATGATTTTGTTGACCAAAGAAGTGCATGTATGTATCTTGATATATTTGAAGGCTTTCTCTATGATTCAAACTTCTTTTTAAATTTAACATTTCATGTATTTTATGGAGTAATTTAAATATTTAGACTTTTCTTAGTTGTTTGTTACTAAAGAGGTGTAGACTTCTAAGAAAACGTCTTAAAAATTCTTAATTTTATTGGGATCAGACTTCCAAAGTACTACACGTGTTTGCTGCTCCCCCAAGTTATAGACATGCCCATGCTTCTGGTCATCTAGCAGTCAAACTGTTTCCATGATTATGATGAGTCTTCTACAGAAATTGTGGAAATCGTGGCCTCTGTATTAGGGCTTCAGGATGGGGCTCACTTTATCAAAAAATTATACCTTTGAAAGTCTTTTTACAAGCAAACAAACCTCCTAAAAAATTGTTAAGCTCATATCCTATGGGTCCAAGGCTTAGTACCTAGTTTGAGGTTAAGGTCACAGATACATTGTGAAAAGACATTGTACTTAAAATTAAATGATAAAGTGTAACTTTGACAATTTTATTTATTTCTTGCTATTCAACAAGCAAAATGTGTTCATAACGGCAGTAAACTTTAAAATCAGATTTTTTGCTCCTAACCCTCAGTCCCTTGGACTCAGCTAACTTGATCATATATTTAAAATGCATATATATAATATCGTCGCAAGACAAGCTTCAGGCAAAGTGATAATGAACATATGGTACAAACAAACTTAATTGGTTGTTTGCCGACTAAAAAGCAAAATGTTCCGGTGACATCCCAGATCCTGGGCATCTTGAAACATAACACTCTACATTTTGTCCGGTACATGTCGTTCTTCAAAGTAAGGGAAAAACGTGTTGGAAAATGAATCATTTTGAACATCCTTTAACGAAGATGTTGTTTTTTAAATTTAAAAAGTAGATTAATTATATTCAAAGCTAACTAAATGTCAAATTTTTTTTCAGCTTATAATTGGCTTATGATCACCTTTGCTATGATTGGAAAGTTTGGAATATCAGCAGGATTTGGGGAGATCTATATATATACTGGAGAAATGTTTCCGACTGTGGTCCGGAGTTTAAGTCTTGGTCTTTCTGGAGCTGGATCAAGACTTGGAAGCATTACATCTCCGTACATGTTTTTTCTGGTAATAATTTATAATCAAGAACTTTAGACAGGAATCATAATTTTGTATTTTTTATCAATCTCGATCAAAGTCATAAAAATTTAAAAAAAACTGGCTCTGTATTCATGTGTATAATTTCAGTCATGCAATTTTCACAGCATAAACTGCTTTATAAATTGATATTTGTATCAGGCGGATGGGACGTTTGGGAAGGTGTTACCTTTCCTGCTCTTTGGTTCTTTGACCTTCTGTGTTGGACTTCTTTCACTAAAACTCCCAGAGACCAGAATGATAAAACTCCTGCAGCAAGTAGAAGATGTCAGTGAAGAAGACATTAGGCGCCCTCCTCTGTTCGTATTACTAGTTTTACTAGTATTTTATAAAAAAAATTTTCACAGAAAAGAAGTCACAAAATTCTGTGCTCTGTGAACGTTTGAACATTTTATTATAACAAAACTCCTTCTTGTAGAAGCAAAGAAGCAAATGATACAGAAGAAGTAGAAAGATTTTTGGAAGATGGACTGTGAAACATATCATTTATGATATACAAAGTACAAGTACATGTAGTAGATTCGAATTCATGTCTTGTGATATATTATTTCTTGATTTTGTGGGGGTTTTTTTAATTTCAAAGAGTGACATATCAAGTTACAAATTTAATTTTTTTTGCTCACATTCTCTCACACATTCACACTTCCCCTTGATTTTGTATTTATTTTTTTTTAGATCTCTGTGAAGATTGAGGATGCATAATATTATTTTTTATAGCTCTAATTATCATAGACCAAAATACCATTATATAATAAATAAGTAATAATTCATATTACTTTGCGATGCCCTTGTTTACCTTTGTGATTGAATAATTGTATTTATTTTATTTTTTTATGTTAGGTTTAAGAAATATATAACAATAAACATATTTAAAGAAATAAACAAAGCTACCATCTGACTCAGAGTGTGAATAAAACAAATATTTCTAATTTAGTGTCCATAAAGTTGATACGATATCAGCTGTTATCCAAAACTGTCTGTAAAATAAGAATGAATACCATAATATTAATTATTAACAAAACTGTAAGTACATGTATCATGACAAAACATGAATATGAAACTAACTCTATAACATACTCTTAGATGGGGAAAGATTTTCAAGTAGTGTATAATACTTTCTAGCAAAAATAAATCTGCTTCCGAGATGGAAGTTATTTTTTTTATCTGTTGTTTAAATTGACATGAAATAGTTATGCCTACATGTAAGTTATTTAGGTCAACAGGCAAAATAGTTGAGTAAAATATGGCATCACACTGATTAGTATTCAATCTTCAAATAATTTCCATAAATTACATGTCACAATTAATGTCTCCCAAAGCATGTTTAATGAAAATGAAAAATAAAATCATATTTATTCCCCGGTAATCGAAGATTCGGGAGCATAAAATATATGGAGATAACGAACAGTATTCAAGCTCAAAAGTCCATTAAACATTACAAAATAGGTGCAGAGCAAACACGGACCTCCAAAACATCAGAGGTGGGATCAGGTGCCATGGAGGAGTGAGCATCCCCTGCCGACCTGTCACACCCGCCGTGTGCTCCTTGTCATGATCGGGAAATAACGGAAAAATCCGTCGACAAATCAGTGTGTAAATAATGGCCTAACAATTGGAATGCAAAACATCAGTCAGCATTTGACTCAATGATAAATTGTATTTGCTGACAAGGTCATTGTATCAACCATAGAACTTACGAAATGATGACTTTAAACGAGACTGCTGATATTCTTGTTGCACAGTACTCTTGAAGTTTCCCCTTCACTACTTTTAATATCATAGTGAGGAGTAAAGAAAGAGGCTTGGTTGAACATTTACTGGAACCCGCTATGTATCATATGTAGCAAATGGTTTTTGGTCTGTTTGTCCGCAAAAGTTTAACCTTGCCCATACATTTTGAATGGTGGGCTAGGGCTGTCATATTTCATTATGCATTCCTTGTGATGAGACCTTTCCTTTGTACCATTATTTTCAGACCTCATGACACTGACCATGGATTGTGATTTGCTTTTTGAAAAGCTTTAACCCTGGCCATATTTTCTGAATGATTGGTACTGGGGCTATTATATTTAACATGTGTATTCCTTGTGATAAAACCTTTATTTGGGTATATTAACACTTTTGAACCCTTGACCTTGGGGTTTGAAATACATTTGAAAAACTAACTTTGGCCTTCAACTGTCATACTTGGACATCAGTGTTTCACAAACACATTTTATTTTTTAGTTTGTTCATATAAAATTTTTGTTAGGCATTCTTTTTATGTGTATAAAAAGAAGTCATTCCTTTCTTTCAACAATGAAATTAATAAAATACCAGGAATTTTTAAAACTGGTTTCAATTACATTCAACGAGACGTAAATTTTTTACCTGAACATGCCTCAAGATTACAAGATGCATATTGGTAATTAAGACCGTCACAAAATGGTGTGTTCTGGCCTCTGCATTCTCTGAACCTGTACTTGCTACCAGCTCCACAAGGCTTGGAGCACACAGTATATGGTCCCCAAGAACCCCAACCTATAAAATGGTTTATCATTTTTGTGGTTTGTGTGTGTACCAAACAATGTTTATTTTAAAGTTGATACATCAGATATAACTATTTTATAAAAGTACTTTATTATAAGCTGCGCTCCTACCTTGACTTGTTATTAAAGTATCTAAAAATCTTATCTCATGGAACCATCTTTTATTATAAGGTGCTTGGTGTTGAAAGAGCTATGATATAATTAGTTTTGAATCATTTGAACATACCCCTTACTATTACTCCCTAAAGCATCAAAAACTCTATCTACTCTTTAATAATAACGAATTTTTTTTGCCTGGACAAGGTGAGATGTTGCATGCTTCAGACATCGTTGAATTTCCAGTACAATCTTGACCACCGTTAGATGGCACAGGGCTATTACACGTCCGATTTCTTTGTTTGTTTCCCCCGCCACAGGACACACTACAAGTGCTGTAACTAGACCACATACTCCAAGCACCATCAACTTAAATAAACGTATGTAATTTGGTACCATGGTGTCGTTTTCTCAGTGACAATGATTTATAAAAAAGTTATTTAAATGTGTTCTTTTATAATTTATTGTAGAAAATCTGTAGAGAATAAAAAATATTATGAAGTAAATTCAGTACTAGGACACGGTTTATTAAAACACAGGATCCCTTCCTCATTTAGTCCCACACAGTCCCCACCACCCCCACTCGGCGGTGGGTTGGTACAGTTCCTCCTTCTTAATTTCCAACCAGTACCACACGTGACATCACAAAGTGAGTAGCTTCCCCATCCTGACCAATTTCCGTCAACTTTAAATACAAAGAATTCAATCAATTCTAGTTAAGAGTGAGTGTTATGATTACTTTTTTCATGTATTTTTATAAGATCAGCATTGTATTATTTGCTTGCATTTCATTTCAGAAAGTTAACTGTATAATGAACTAGTTTGAAGTTAGATGTTAATAAATCTCTGTTCAATCAATTGAAAGAAAACGAAATGGTAACAATCATATTACAATAGTAAAAAAATCTAAAAATATGTTTCGAAATTTAAAACATTCTTATAGATTAAAAACAGGAACACTTGCCTGCACAATGTTTTTCGTGACATATTTCAGCCTGCTCGTCATGTCCAGAACATGTGTTCCCACCATTAGTTGGTACTGGATTGGTACATGTTCTTGTTTTTGTCTTGATTCCAGTACCGCACGTTACACTACAGGCCCCAAAGCTAGTCCATGCCGTCCAACTACCATCAACTTAAAAAAAAAAGAATTAAGAAAGGGATCATTTCAAAGATAGAATACGACCGAATCATTAAATTTTTTTCTAACAAATTATAGGAATGTTGACCAAGACAAATATTTACCAGGATCAGGGCACTTTTGCGTATTGCAGGAGGATGACTGAATGGAATCTCCGATACAAAAAGATCCATTTACTGCGGAACAATTCCGATATCTTATTTGAAGTCCACCACCACAGGAAGTGGTGCAAGTTGTATATGCACCCCAATTATTCCATATTCCTTGATAGCAAAATAAATGTAGCAAAAACATTTATAATTTATTCAGAAATTGCTTTCATGTACGTACTTGTAGTTAATTATTTTATTGTCCTGATTTTCTTTGCAGATAACATATGCTTCATGAATTCATTATTGATAGCAAATTTCAAAACTTTTTAAGAAACAACTTAAATCAAGTTCAAAAAACCATCACCACCTGGCCACATCTTTATTTCTTGTACATACCTGGGCTTACCTTTATTTCCGTACTCAACACCTTATTTCTGAACACAACTTGATACACCTTCATTGATGTACATACCTGGACAAACCTTTATTTCTGTACACAAAACCCTTATTTTCTGTAAACACCTTGGCACAGCACTATTTCTGTACACACAAGGACACACCCTTATTTCTGTACACACCTGGGCACACCTTCATTTCTGTACACGCCTGTACATCTGTGGAGTATCCCTGGCATGTAGCTCCACGTGTACCTACGCAGCTTCGGTGTCTCGTGTGATTACCCTCTCCACATGTAACGCTGCAGGGTGACCAGAAACCCCAAGGAGTCCAGTCAGCAGTTACTGTAACAAGGGTCAATCATGTATGAAAGAGATGAAGGATGTTTGGACAAGTTAATTCATTGTTAAGAACTGCAAGATATGAAGCTGCAGACTTTCTCAAAATGATTTACATCTCACTTGGAACGCATTCGCAGTGCATAGTTGCATTGCTGTTTGAAGAAATGTTACATTTTTGGTGTAATCCACTTGAGCATGATAGTACCTCTGTGAAGGAAAACAAACAAGAATTTCTGGAGTTAGACATTTTAAAAACTTTCTCAGGTACTATTAACAAAGATCACTATATTACAATTTGTACATTTCAGACCCTATTCAAATACAGACAAATAATGTATGATAATCTTAAAGATACAGAAGCTGTAGAGGCATCCTCTCTTTTATAGCAGTGGATTTAAAATTAATTAATTTTTAAAGAATCATGTAAAAAAGAATGGTGATTTTACTAGGATACTTTGGTTTTTATATAGTTAAAAACAATTCCATAAGAGAACTTGAAGTTGACCACACTTTCGAGAATAACCTTTTAAATCAACTTTCTTTTTCAGAGATTCATTTTACAATAGTGCGCATTGGAAGTGGTAAAATTTTCCGCTGGAATGAAACGTTTTGAGCTTTCTTTTGAACATTGGTTGTTACATATAATGGCATGCTCATTTCAACGGTTTATTGTGTGGGCGGGGAAACGCCAGTCTGCACTGAGAGATAGAGAGTGCCCTCGATTGTCGTACAGTTTTTCACATGCTTCATTACAATAGCCAATAAAATTGACTGTCTAAAAATAAACACCGGGTAACACGCGTTCGATTGATGCACGTGTTGTGGTAACTTGTAGGGGCGTAACAAATGCATGTAATTACCGGTATGTACATTTTCATTGCAATACGTGAGTTTTACAGAAACGGGGAGTCTCATACTCTCCTTCTCCCCCAAACCTCAAAAAATCCCTCGTGTTGCTAGTCTCAGAGAATGGGATATTTTTAGACATTGCGACGAACATTGGTTACTTAATTCTAAAGAAATGGGCGTGTCATTATGTAACAATTGTCGTTCGTTAAGACCCAAACGTTCCATTCAAACGAAAATTATTCCACGTCATTGCGCATGATTCAATTGTACGTATTTTCATAAGTTTATTTCAATGAGAATGATTGTTTGAACTTTGAAAATGTCAACAAAGCACAACATTTGACTATTTCAAATTCCCCATTGCCATTTTACCAATTTCACTCCAGGATATTCATGAATATTTCAGACGTACCATCAAAGTAAATTTTATTTAAGATAAAGTCCTTGCAGTGTTACTGATATTTTGTTCATTAATTTCATGAATTGTGTCAATACATGTCTAACGCGAACACAGATCGACACCCTATCATTCTCTGTAGATACTTGTCCCTCAAAATCTGGTAAAGATCGGTCTTTTGATAACTTAAATCTGTTGATAATGAAGGTCTATTTTCGTGTTATTTCACTTAATTTTTTCCTTCAAATCTCAGAACTATTTGCATCACAATGGTTGATTACGTTATATAGTAGTTAAATACTTATACTCTCGGCAGTAATCTTTACGGAAGCCCGTTGGGGCCAGTTCAGAAAAAAGAAATATTTTTTATTGCGTTTTAACGCAATAAAAAATATTTCTTTCTTTGAACTGGCCTCAACGGGCTTCCGTACTTTCTTACTTTATTATAGAAATTTGCACTCAACCTTTACCAATATTAAGACCCGAAGAAAAAAAATCATGTTTACAGCACCAAAGTACTGAAGACGATGTCTCACAATAAGTCATACACATACAACATAGGGAACACACTGAGTAGAAAAATGTACATACTTGTTCCTCTAACGTCCAAAACAAACGTATAAAACAAGAGAATTATTGCTGTATTCATAATAAAATGTAATGACCTCCAGAACAGGTCGCTTATCTCATGAGAGCATGACCAAACAAAACAAGTATACACTGACAACGTCAAGTTGTATTATACACTGAATATAAGAAAATGTCAAAATATATTACAGTGATACAGAACATAATCTGTTGTGTGTCAGCAATTTATATTTAAGGATTTTTTAAATGTTTTGTGAGTGTTATTGGTGTGTAACTGAATCATACAGACGTGAGGTAATAGTATATTTCTTGAAAAATATATTACTATGTCCAAGTCTTTGATCTACACACCAATAACATTCACAAACAAACAAACAAAAAAAAAATCCAAACAAATAAATAAATAAAAAATATATAAATAAAAAAAAAAATCATAATTATTTATATCATGAATTTATATACACTTTACAATTATTTGTAGGGTAGGAGTGCTGTTGTATTACAGAAAATTCAAAGTGGCTCTGTTCTGTAAAAAAAAAATATTAAATTTTTGCAGTCTTTTAAATTCAGAAAAGATGACGTCTTCCTGTGATTGGTGTAATGTATAAGGGCGTTGCTTGTTGATTGCGCACTCCTTAGATAAATATCATAATCTTTAGTGCATTTGTTCCGTGTTAATATCAGTGTCGCTATTTGTCCGAATTGAACCCAAGAAGGTGTCTCCATTCTTCAGTGACTCACAATTGTAAATCTTTCCTTGTTTGATATTGATGTGTTTTCCCTCTACTTTTTAATTTTTTTTTTCAAACTAGATTTTAAAACATTAGAAAGTACCCTTTATGGTAAAGGTTATATAATACTTCTCCATTGGTAGATGTAAAATAAACATATAAATTCTTTTAGGTTATGAAATTCTGATTTTCAACACGAATAGAGGCCATATAAACGTGAAAAATTAAAAATTTAGAATTTTAAAAATTGCTTCATTAAAAAAAATGTTTTCCAATTTCATAAATACTTTTCGTAAATATTTTTTCCTTTAAAATCATTGAAGCTCTATTTTAAGTTTTTTCCTGGCTCTGGATTTCAAAGAGAGTGATTGATAGTTTTCCAAATGAAATTTAATTCACAAATGTCAGCTACGAGGTGCGGACTCAGAGGAGGGGGTGTACCCCCTCCCGGACTAAACTTATCAAAAAAAAAAAAAAAAAAAATAGAGGAGATAGAAATAAGTTTTTGTAAAGTATTTTGAGTTTCAATTGTTAAAGAAAGTCTTTTGAAAATTCTTTCAAATTTGGAATAAATCTCTGAAAATTGAGAAAAAACAAAATTTTCTCAAGTTTTTAACTTCATGTAGCCTCTTTACATGCTAAGAAATCAGAATCAATGCGTTGTTCTTGAACATCATTAAAAAAGTTAAGATTTGTTTATCTCAACTACATATGTCTTGACTTCATAATCCAGAATGCACAAATAAAAAAGTGTACAAACGAGGTGATGAGTTCTTCCTTATTCTCAATAAGGTGAAAGAATATAATGATGATCGACCTTGTTCGAAGCAGATCAGTAGACGGACCTAGATTTTGTAATATTATGCTGAAAATGTCTGAAGCTGGTTCACTACCTTGACATAAAGAGGTTTTATAGCCTTGCTCCTGGAATGGGTCTGTTTTCATAGGTGTATATCAAAATTAAAATATTCTGTCGTAATTTATTTTGCCTTTTTGTAAACGAATAAACAATTATATTTGTACTTGCATGCATATTGGTATATGAATTGATGATATATTTTGGTTTGTAAATATAGCAATGAGGCTATTTTTTATATGTAAGCACCCCCCGGTACTCAAACTAAACTAAGATGACCCGACAGGGTCTACTTTGAACAAAAATTAAATCAATATATTTCAAAAGAGCATAGTTGACTGAAATCATTGGAATCATCTTTTTAATCAAAATCTGGAGTGCACTTAGTGCAATTGCTGCATCTTTGACAAAACGACCCCTGTTACTAAGTTTTGATAGACCACTTTACTTTTATCTAATTTTACTAGTGTTATTTGAATGTACCTCATGATCAAAGAAAGGAGTCCTCGTGAAAGAAAAATGTTAGTATTGGGCAAGTGTTGGAGATCCTATAAATACAGAAGTCTGTTCACATTGCTTCATTTCAATACTTCTGCCAACATTGATATTAGAAGCAATTATGCATCTGATTTTCGTCACTTTCATTTTGTACAATTTTGTTTTGGTAGCATCTCGTAAGTATTTTTGCTTCACTCTTTCTTTCAAGTTATACAGCCGTACAACAGAATTATGTATACAAACATA